AGTCCCAGTCCAAGTTCAAAGGCCCAAAAATCTGGGGCTGATGTTGTAAGTTTTGGCATCAAGAGATGGATGGTCTGAGGTAGGAGAAGATGGATGTCTCACTGAGCGTGAATTGAACCTTCCTCCCCCTATTTGTTCTGCTCAGTCCCTCAGCAGATTCAATGATATCCACCTGCTCTGGTGAGAGGAACCTTTTTCCCATCTACTGATTCAAATGCTAATCTCCTCTGAAAACACTTTGACAGATACACTCAGAAGTGACGGTTTAACGACCATCTGGGTATTCCTTAGCCCATTCAAACAGATGCATAAAAGTCACCATCTCACTGCAAATCTTCTGTGTGTTAATTGCATTAAGCTCTCTCACAGGCCTTTATTTTATTTTTTAAACACGGTATCATCATTTTCATTCCTTTCTCCTGCTGAATGAACTGCACTTGCTCATGTTTCCTAACCTGTGGTGCCTGGAGTGGAATCAGGCCAGCCAGCAGCAGCACACTTAAAATATTATGTTTCTATTGATGCTTGTTTTCTGAGAAACACTCCAATTGCTGTTTTCTCTCCTGCTCCCTGTGTATTTTTCTCTTCACTTCTCAGAAATGATGTTTATTGGTGGGTCCTTACAGCCAGCTTAAAAAAAAACAAAACCTATACAATTATATGATGAAAAATAATTTAGGGTTGACAAGTAACAAAAGGCAAAAATGTTTAAGTAAACAGTAGGCTCAGTGGCAGACAATGGGAGGACTCAACCTCCAAAACATTAATTGACTTTTCTTATAGCATCATGGACTAAGGATGCTTTATGAATTATGGTGAACACATTAGGCTTGGTTGAAATGATAAAGTTGCTATTATGTTTATCCATAGTTCGGAAGTTTAGTACTAAATTCCTGGCCAGCCATCTCTGTACTTCTATAAAAACTCATATTTAAATAACTTTTAAATGTATAGATTACGAGAATAGCATGCTAAAGCCACGACTTTCTTAGGAAAAATTAACAAGTATAATTTTAAAAACTACTCAGCTATCACAAGAAACTGTTTTGAACAAGTCGAAAACAGAATTAAACAGCATGCCAGGCAAAGTAGTGACTGAGTTAATGTTTCTTTTTTCTTTCTAAGGGACTCAGGGCATTATATTCAAACAATCTGAACAAAGGTTGGATAAGATGTCAACTCAAAGTTATTAAAGTCATTTTAGAGGCAGTAAAAAACACCTTGCAGTATCTTATCATTCCCAAATTTCTTAAGTAGACAAAATCTATTTGCACATGGTTGCGTCCAGATGACATTAATTTTTAATGTGGTTAAACTCCATTTGAATGTATGCCAAGGTAGTAGCAATGATTAGCTTATTTGGAAAATTACCACCTTACTCTTCTCATTATTGGATAACCTCTATTGAAGAGAGAGGCTTCATGAAGCTTTCCTTTCTGACCTCTTAAGTAGTCATCAAATTGAAGCTCTGAGCTTGACCTTTAGACCTCATACTGACCCAAGGCAAATTAGACCTTGTTCAGGACTTGCATTTAAGGATATTGAGCCAATGCTTGGAGGAGTGTTTAATTTGTGGAGCAGAAGAAGAGAGAGAATATGACTTAAGAAATTTTTCCTTCTGGGTGTCTGGGTTAAGCCTCTGCCTTCAGCTCAGGTCATGATCTCAGGGTCCTGGGATTGAGCCCCGCGTCGGGCTCTCTGCTCAGCGGGGAGACTGCTTCCCCTGTCTCTCTGCCTGCCTCTCTGCCTACTTGTGATCTCTGTCTGTGTCAAATAAATAAGTAAAATTAAAAAAAAAAAAGAAAAAAGAAAGAAAATTTTCCTTCTGATAAAAGAAAGGACCTACCTGCTATAAGAAGGTCAAAAGAGAGAGATCAGAAGGGGTAGAACTAGGTGGGCCCTAAATATTTCAAAAGGGGTCCAGTGCCATAGCTATTTGGGTCTCAAACAAGATTGGTTTTAAGAGCATCAAGACCTAAGGTAAGTTGAGGGGCCATCCAAACAAAATAGAGATCTGTCCACACCTGAAATCTGGAAAAGAGATATTCTTACCAAGGACCTCACAACCCAGGGCAATGCAAGCAACTTCTGAAGAAAAGAAAAGAAAAAATAAAGATGTGTTCTTTAAGAGTGATGGTCTCACAAAATTGCACATTCCATAAGATCATACGGGGAGGCCATTCTTGCTATTGGCAAGCCTGGGGAGTTGGCGGGGGTTGCAGGGGTGGATTTTTAGGGGAGAGAGGGAAAAAGTCTGAGGACCGGGCCAAAAGAACATTATCAGGCGTGATAAGAGACTTAGAAAGAAGTTGGAGTAGATTAGATGTTACAAATTAAAATCCTTAGGAGTGCTGAATGTGTAACATGGGTGATCCAATTGGCTTCCCCTCTCTTTCTTTTTCTGGAACCCTAAGGCTACTATGTGAAGAAGACTAGGTAAGCATCCTGGAGGATGAAAGATTATATAGACCAGTGGCAAGTGCTCTAGCTAAGGCTCCTTAGACCATGGGCCTGCCCATGAGAGTGAGGCCATCTTGGACCACCCAGTTTCAGCCACACCACCAGCTGACCACGGAGACTAGCCACACTGGCCCAGATGGGAAGAACTGCAGTTAATTCAGAATTGTGAGAAATAATATTATTAGTATTAAACAAAAACAAAAACAAAAACGGTTCATTATTATTCTCAAGTTTCATAACTGAAAAAAAATCTGTTTACATGTCTTTTTTAAAAATTGAGGTAATTGACATATAACATATTTGTTTCAGGTGTACAATATAATAATTTGATTTTTGTGTACATGATAAAGCAATCACTGCAGTAAGTCTAGTTACCATACAATTAACCCCCTTTACCCATTTCACCTACCTCCCAACCCCCTTCCCTCTGATAATCTATAATCTATTCTCCATATCTATGAATTTTGTTTGTGTGTTTTGTTTCGTAGGTTCCTTATATGAGTAAATTACATGGTATTTGTCTTTCTCTGTTTGACTTACTTCACTGAGCATAATATCTTCAAGATCTATCCATGTTGCTTAAAATGACAAGATTTCCTTCTTTTTTATGGCTGAGTAAGATTCCATAGCATGTATGTATCATCTTCTTTATCCATCCACGCTTTGATGGACACTTAGGTTATTTTCATACCTTGGATATTATAAATACTGCTCTAGTGATATGGAGTGCACATATCTTTTCAAGTTAGTGTTTTTACTTTCCTTGGATAAATACCCAGAAGTGGTATAGTTGGATCATATGGTATTTTTATTCTTAATTTTTTTTAAAGATTTTATTTATTTATTTGACAGACAGAGATCACAAGTAGGCAGAGAGGCAGGCAGAGAGAGAGGAGGAAGCAGGCTCCCTGCCGAGCAGAGAGCTCAACGTGGGGCTCGATCCCAGGATCCTGGAATCATGACCTGAGCCGAATGCAGAGGCTTTAACCCACTGAGCCACCCAGGCGCCCCTATTCTTAATTTTTTGAAGACCCTGCATACTCTTTTCTGTAGTGGCTGTACCGATTTACATTCCCACCAACAGTGTGCAATGGTTCCTTTTTCTTAATATCCTTTCCAACACTTGCTGCTTCTTGTTTTGTTTTTTTTTTTTTTTGGTAATAGTCATTCTAATAGGTGTGAGGGGATATCCATTGTGGTTTTGCTTTGCATTTACCTGATAATTAGTGATGCTGATCATATGCCTGTTGGCCATCAGTGTGTCTTCTTGGAAAAAAAAAAGTCTACTCAGATCCTCTGCCCATTTTTTTTAATTGAAAATTTTTGTTATTATTGAGTTGTAAGAGTTCTTTACATATTCTGGATATTAACCCCTTATAGGATATATGATTTGCAAATATCTCTCGCATTCAGTAGGTTGCCTTTTCACTTTGATCATAGCTTCCTTTGCTGTGCAGAAGCTTTTCAGTTTGATATAGTCCCAGTAGCTTATTTTGGCTTTTATTTCCCTTGCCCTTGGAGAAAATCATTGCTAAGACTGATGTCAAGGAACTTAATGTCTTTGTTTTTTTCTAGGGGTTTTATAGTTTCAGGTCTTACATTCAAGTATATAATACATTTTGAGTTAATTTTTATATGTGGTATAAGATAGTAGTCCAGTTTCATTCTTTTGCATGTGGCTGTCTGGTTTTCCTAACACCATTTATTGAAGATATTACCTTTTCCATATTATATATTCTTGGCTCCTTTGTGTAAATTAATTGACTGTATATTTGTGAGTTTACTCCTGGGCTCTCAATTCTATCCCATTGATCTATGTGTCTGTTTTTGTGCCAGTACCATAATGTTTTGATTACTATAGCTTTCTAATATAATTTGAAATTAGGAAGTGTGATGCCTCTGCCTTCATTGTTTCTCAAGATTGTTTTTGCTATTTGGGATCTTTTGTGGTTCCATACAAATTTTAGAGCTATTTGTCCTAGTTCTGTGAAAAATGTCATTGGGATTTTGATAGGGATTTAACCAAATCTATAGAGTGCTTTCAGTAGTATGAACATTTTGGCAATATTAATTTTTCCATTGCATGAGCATGGAATATGTTTACATTTACTTTTGTCTTCTTCAGTTTCTTTTATTTATGTCTTAAGAGTTTTCAGTATCCTTGTCTTTCATTTCCTTGGTTAGATGTATTCCTAGGTATCTTATTCTTCTTAAAGCAATTATAAATGGGATTGTTTTCTTAATTTCTCTTTCTGATAGTTTATTATTTGTGTATAGAAAAGCAATAGTTGTTTCGATACCAATTTTGTATCCTGTTACTTTATTTTTATTTTTATTTTATTATTTTTTTTTACACAAAGACAGTTATTTAAGACCTTTATTAATGAGTGCTTGCCGTTTGTTGACTTTTTTGAAAAAATCAAGTTGTAAACATTTATTACAAATTAAAAATGAGGTTCTTAAAAATCTCAACTTGACCAGACATGAAACAATTTAAAAACCTTTAAAGGTGTATTGAGAAAAACCAGGCTTTTGTTTTTTTTTCTTAAAAAACACGTTTGTCATTACCAAAAAAGAGACGTCTTTAGGTAAAAATAATAAAAACCCCATGCTGCATAGATAATGCAGATAGTTCTATTTATCTGGTCAATGGGCAAAAAGCAAGCACTTAAGGTCTTCAGCTCCAATCTTTTGTTCATTTCTTATTGCTGGAATTTCATCTTCATTTCTTCGTGTTGGATGACTAAAGCGGATGATGGTGGAGATGGTAAGCCGGCATTTACTCAGCCCCGCCCTGCTCAGCCTCGGGAGCGGACGCATCCTCAGCTGGTGGATCGGCTGCTTTGGTCTCTTTGCCATCTTGTGGTTTAGGGTTTTCTGGGCGTCTGTGTTGGTAACTGAAGTTGCGGCGGTACCGACGTTGAGGTGGCTGCTGACCCTGGGTCTCATCTCCTTGATTTTCCTTATCTTCCTCGTTGCTATCCTCTCTAGGTTGTCTTTGGTGAGGAGGACCCCTGCGGAATCGTGGTCTATAACCCCGATACGTATTCTGTCTCATTGGTCTACCTTGTTCTCCTGCACCCTGGTTGTCAGCACCTTCCATCACTTCTCCCTGCACAGGAGGGTTGGCATACTGTGGTCGAGACGCCCACAGGGTCTCCGCATGTAGTAAGGTGGGAACCGTCGCCTGCGTTAAGGCGCTGTTGGGCCTGGCCTTCGGGAGCACCTTCCGATCCCTCGTTCTTTTCCCCACTCTCACTATTCTGGTAATTTTGCTGGTAATTGCATGGAGGACCCCTGCGACATGGATAGCGCCTATAATGGTTACGGTCTGCTGCATATTTACTGCCTGGCACTGGAACTCCACCAGGGCCTGTCACATTTGCTGCCTCCGCACCCTCTTCTCCTTCAACAACATCAAACTCCACAGTCTCTCCATCTCCTACACTGCGAAGGTACTTCCTGGGGTTATTCTTCTTTATGGCAGTCTGGTGTACAAATACATCTTCCTTGGTGTCATTCCTGTTGATGAAACCATATCCGTTTCTTACATTGAACCATTTTACTGTTCCCAAAACCTTCCTTGCGATGACCTTCTTATCCCCGCCGGCAGGCGCCGCCGATGTGAGGCCGCCCGGGCAGCCGCTCCCTAAGCAGCTGCGGGTGGTGCCGGCCTTGGTGTCTGCAGCGCTGAGGGCGGGGGCGGCGGAGGCGGACGGTGGGGGTGGGGGGCGCGGCAGGCGGCTGCAGGGTCTCGGCCTCGCTGCTCCTGGTTGCGGTGATGGTGACTGGGGCTGGCTGCGGCAGCTGCGGCTCCTCCCGGGGTGTGATGGTAACTAGGCCAGCGGCGGTGGTGGGGCTGCTCAGGGCTCTCTGGGGTCCGCTCTCCGCTCCCGCTACCGATCGAACTAGCGAGAATGGCCGGTCGGGCGGGATCTATCCTGTTACTTTACATTTATTGCTTCTAACGGTTTTTTGGTGGAGTCTTTAAGGCTTTCCATATATAAGAGTATCATGTCATCTGCAAATAGTGACCATTTTACTTTTTCTCTCTAATTTGGGAGGCTTTTTATTTATTCTTCTTTCCTGATTGCTTTGTCTGGGACTTCCAGTACTATGTTGAATAAAAGTAGCAGGAGGGGGCATCCTTGTCTTGTTCCTGATCTTAGCTTTTCACTGTTGAATATGATATTAACTGTAGGTACACATTGTTTCAATATAGTATTGCCCTGATGACATTAATTTTAATACCAATAAACATCATTTAAATTTGGATCAAGATAAAAGCAATGATTTATTTATTCTGAGAAATTACCAATTTCATCTTCTACCACATTGGACAGTCTCATACCTTACAGTGTTAGAAGGTCAACAAAAATATGATTAATCGTATGTACAGATGAAGTATTTTTTGCTAAATCTGAAGGACATTCTGAGCAACCTACTGGTGCAAGCTTATGTTTATGTCTGGTCAGTCCTAGAGTTTAGAATTCCACAATTTGAGAGATAAGGTCCTGAAAGTAAGGTCATTTTAGATTTTCCCACAGTTGAGGAGCTAGAGAACAGTCTTAGAGACTATCTAATCCAGGGGGTTCCAACTGATAGTTTACAGGCCAAATTTGACCAACAAAAGCATTTTATTTGGCCTACACAGTGATGGCTCAGAAATTTAAAAAAAATGTGTATCTAATTAGTCACATTTCCAAATTTTTGAAATTGGGTAATCACATTAAAAATCTGCATTTCCAAATTATCTTGAAAAAATTTGGAAGTATTGGCAACATTGAGCCTATGGGAGAATAGTTAATTGAAGCAAAATACAGGCTGCTAATTTTTATTTATTTATTTTATTCTAATTTTTTTAAAGAGAGAGAGTGCATGTATGTACAAGCATTGGTTGGTAGGGTGGGGAAGAGCAGAGGACAGAGGGAGAGAGAGAATCTTAAGCAGGCTGCACACCCAGCATGGAACCCAACCCCAGACCCAATTTCACAACCCTGAGATCATGACCTGAGCCAAAATCAAGAATCAGATGCCTTACCAACTGAGCCACCCAGGTGTCCCTAGCCTGCTCCTTTTATATGGGGAAGGAGCTCACCAAGTTCCTGTATCATATGGTTGGAGGTTTCTGTGATTTGTTCTGCATAACTGATCGCCCTGACCTTCCCGTACCCAGGCAGGAGAAAGAATGTTGTTTGTGAGACTTATGTGGCATAAGTGACATTGGGAGCCTGATTAATGGACATTAGCCAGCCTCCAGGTCAGAATTGGCCCTTCTGGTCCAGAGGCTAAGAGCTGTAAATCTTGCCTTACATCTCTCTGGCTCCAAGCTGGACTGCCCCCCTCCCCTCACGCCCGAATGGGATCTGGGAGGGGAGACAAACACACCTAGCCCAGGCTCCTTGAATATATAAAGACATTATAATGTAGAAATCAGCTTACTCCAAATCCCACATAGGTGAACAAATGTTTAACTTCAGACCCCATCATTTGCCCTATAAATACAGTCCTGGGGATCAGTTGAAGTCTCATCTAAGGGGAGGATGCATCCCCCAGTCCTCTCAATCAGGACCCAGCCTGGCTGTCTCCAAGGAGCTTCCCCAGCTAGTGAGGTTGGAGGTTGTAAGTACCCGATTTGATATAACTTTGTCTTATTCTCCTTTACTGCTTACTCTTGCCCTCATCTATGTGAAGATTTCCCTTTTCTTCTTTCTGTTTCTATAGATTTTTATGATCTCAATAAGGTGTTGTTGTTGTTGTTGTTTTCACCTGTGAAACTGAGAGTACAGCTGCTGTGAATCTTTGTTTTCAGAAGAGTCCCCAAAGAAACCATCCCTCCCCACTACATAACACCTCAGTTTGCTTTACTCATCCATGTTACACACAACCTCTGGAAGTATTTGAATTTGTAATATCTGAATCTGCTCCAGTCACTTAATACAGATAAGCAAACAGAGGTTCAGATAAAATGGATTCTGTCATCAGCCAGTGATGGACTTAAAGTATGGTGTATATATAAATCCTTATTAGCTGTGGGTCTGGTATTAGCTTTTCTTCCCACATGGCAGCTGGCTGAGGGCAGACTTAATTTTGAATCTGTGTGAACAGGCAGAAGAGTCTGGGATTTTCCAAGACAAGAAAGCTGGAGAGCAGTTTAGAGAGACACCAGGATCAGTGTCCCCTAAGTCCCTAAGTGGCTAGAGGGTGCGAGCCCCTGGAAGGCAAAGGAGGAGCTGAAAGACAGAGAGGGCAAAGAAAACAAACATGTTTTGCTTCAATATTTTGTTCCTCATCTGCCATATTGGCCTAACGATCTTTGCTGGGAAAACATTTCGCTACATTTTGATGATGTTGATAGACTTTGGAATGCATGTAAGTCTCTAAAAAACACAGAAGAAACTGTGAGATTCCAACTATATAGATGGCCAAGTCTTAGTTTAAAAATATACTTCTTAAAAGTTCTTTAGAAAGATTTTTTTAAAATCTCATCAGAAGAAAAAGGAAATTTATAACTAGACGTTATAATGGATCTTACCTAGACTTGCCATGGTGATCATATCACCGTGTGTGTGTATAATTATGTTGTTCACCTGAAATGAGTATAATGTTAACTATATCTCAATAAAGAAATAGTTCCTAGAAATCTGTCTTCCCCTATATCCATCATTAGCCAGGTTCTTGAAAATGTATCTTGAATCTGTGAGCTTCCTTCAATTTCATTCCTATTATCACCGTGGGAGTTGAGGTCACCCTGCTTTCCCCCAGCCTCTTGACTAGTCTTCATGTTTGTGGTGGACTCTCATCAAACCTGCTCTGCTCAGACCCTCCCATGCATTATAAATCAAGAGATGAATTGTTGCATAGGCCCACAGATCAGTCTGTACTTCAAAGCTGTGGTGTGATTATATAATTAGTGAGCAATTAACAGGATGTGATGGTGGCTTTTTCAGGAATTATACTTGGAGTACAGATGCTAAAATCAGGTCACAGGGTTTGCTAATGGTGGTTTTCGCAACCATAAAAATTAATTCTGCTGGGATGTAAGGTTGTTGTGGTTGGGGACAATGAAGTGGTAATGTCCTTGGAATGTCCTAGCTTGGAAGTTTGGAATGTCCTAAGGCCTGGAAGGGTCTGTGGACAGATAGGTGATGACCATTGCCACCAACCAGGGACATTTTCTATAAATACATGGGAGATTCACTGAACATTCAATAGCCTAACGTCCTCAGATGTCCCTTGTGGAAAATGTATTCTTTGAGTTCGTTAGAACAAAAGTAATCTGTGTATATCAGAGTCCTCCATTTCACCAATTCTCTAACTTAATCCTTGTGTCTACTGATTCACTGCTTTCAGTTTCTTCCATCCATTTCCTTCTTCACATACCTGACAGAATAATTTTTTAATCACCAAAATCTAATTAGGGCATTTGTCTACTCTGAAAATGTAGACCTTTGATCTTAGGATATTTTTTACCCCTTTCTTACTGCCCAAGCTTCTTTTCTACTTCCTTCTCCTTCACATTTTAAAATTCAGCTTTAGAAAATTGTGGTTAATCTTGGAATGAGACTTGATCCCTCCAGCCTCTGGAACTTTGCACAGACTGCATTGTCCTTGCCGGGGATATGGTTTTCCAAACTGCTAAGGATTGAGTGTTTGTATCCTCCCCAAATTAGTATGTTGAAATCCAAATGATAACATTTGTTGGGGGAGGGTGGCTTTTAGGAGGTAATTAAGGTTAGATTAGGTCATGAGAATGGAGTCATCATGAAGATACTGATGCCCTTATAAAAAGAGGAAGAGACATGAGTTCTTTCTCTCTCCGTGTATACCCCTCGAAGGAAGGTTGTGTGAGGGCATATCCAAGAAGAGGGCTCTCACAAAGCACCAGACCATGCTGGCACCCTGATCTTGGAGTTCCAGCTTCCAGAGCTGTTAGAAATGTTTGTTGTTAAAGCCACCCAGTCTATGGTATTCTGTAATAGGAGCCTGAAAAGTTCAAGACACAAACCATGCCTATCAGCTTAATTCCTGTCCATCTATCAGGTTTTCCCTGATAGATTGTTTCCCCGAAAATTTCTTTTTTCTTTTTATTGAAGTATAGTTGACAATATTACATTAGTTTCAAATGTGCAACGTAATGATTTGATAAGTCTATACCTTATGCCATGCTCACTGCAAGGGTAGCTACCATCTGTCACCGTACATCACTTCTAATACCATTGACTACATTCCCTATGCTGTACTTTTATCCCCATGACTTCTTCCAATCCGTTAAGTGGAAGCCTGTATCTCCCACTCCCCTTCACCCATTTTGCTCATCCCCCAACCCACCTCCCCTCTGGCAACCACTAGTTTGTTCTCTGTGTTTACAGGTCTGTGGCTGCTTTTGGTTTGCTTGTTTGTTCATTTGTGGTTTTTTTTTTTTTTTTTTTTTTTTTAGCTTCCCCCTCTGAGTGAAGTCATATGGTATTTGTCTTCCTCAGTCTGACTAGTTCCAGTTAACATAATACCCTCTAGGCTCATCCATGTTTTTGCAAATGGCTGAGTAATATCCTATGATATATTTTATGTGTCTTCTTATGGATGAGTAATAGTCTGTTGTATAAGTATATGTGTATAAATATGTGTATGTATATACGTTACATCTTTATCCATTTATCAGTCAATGGATACTTGGGTTTAGCTTCCATATCTTGGCTGTGGTAAATAATGTTGTAATAAACATAGGAGTGCATGTATCTTTTTGAATAAGTGCATCCATTTTCTTTGGGTAAATACCCAGTAGTAGATTAAGTGAATCATATGCTATTTCTGTCTTTAATTTTTGAGGAAACATCAGACAGTTTTCCACAGTGGCTGCACCAGTTTACATTCCCACCAAGAGTGCATGAGAGTTCCTTTTTCTCCTGAGATGTTTTTATGACTCTTCTGGTCTGGGTTGGTTATCTTCCTAAGTGTCTCCATAACACCTTATACTTCACTTTCATGTGGTTACCATGCTACATCATAAAATCTTATTTACTGTTTTGTATCTTCTACTTGACCATAAACTCCATGGTGGCAGACATTGTGTCTGCCTTGTTTGCAGTTTTATCCTTAGCTTTTAGCAGGTGGTAATAAATATTAATAAATTAGCAAATATTGGCTGGTTGAATGAATAAATTAGGTAGCAAGAAGAAACAATTTAAGAAATCAGTCAAGCAAACAAAAACAACCAAAGAAACCTTTTTTTAACTTATGATGCTCTTTATCTTAGAGGTAGCTACATTCTCACATCTTTAAAGACAACTTTTACTTGGCTATGGTCAGATGTAGTCACTTGCTAGTGAATTTGTCATGACCTGTCTGATTCATTTTAATTTCTTGTCTTTGTTTTCTGCAAAGAGAGAAAATTCCTTTAAAATCCTACCAGTTTAAAAACTCAGTAACAGAAAAACTTAATAGACAATGTCTTCCAACAAATATATTTCTATATATACTGGGTGCTTACCCTTTGCAAGCTTGAGAATTCACAGGGCCTGCAACTGATTATATTCATCCAAACTATAATCATTTCCTTTGGCATAAATAAAGTCAAGCTGTTAGTACGAGTCCAAAGGCTCTTGCAGCCATTTTAGTACAGTTTGGATGGATGCAGATGAAATTACAGAGTCACATTTTATTTGTTGGCTGCTGTCCCAATTATGAGCTTAGTCACGTTGGAGAGTTCAGAGAGATCAGGATTGGGGTGGGGAGAGGATACACAGTTCTCAATAATTATCCCATGACAGGATGGGCTTTCATTTGCTCTGACCAACATAGAGATTAACTCTAGACCTCTGACCATCTGATCCGATGTGGATTAAAAAATTCTCCAATCTTCCAAAAACATTCATTAAATTCTCTTTAGGAAGTTTAACACTTACACAGCTGGTGATGGGGGTGGGGGTGTTGGGAAGAGATAGGGTTGGGAGAATGGCTGATTCAGATGCTACAATTATTTTGGGACTGGAAACAGAATTGAAATGACCCAGATGGTTAGCCTAATGAAGCCAAACTGAAATTTATGCCAAGAGGAGTCAGAGCTACGTTTCCATTTCTCTGTGAGGGGGAATAAGTGTGTGTGTGTGTGTGTGTGTGTGTGTGTGTACGCGCGCGTGCGCACAAGTGGGCATGCATGATTGATTTTGGCTGGAGCAGGCTTTGGGTTATAGGAATAAAAGTGTGGCAGGCCAAGATGAATGTGCATAGGAAAGAAATCACAACAAAACACAAAATCTTTTTCTGCTGCCGTCTGGCCTCGGGGAGGCCTGCTCCCTCTCAATTGCACCAGTGTGGAAAATCCTCTTTCCTTTGGCTTTTAAAAGAGACCATATTTCCTGGGAGTGTATGGTACCTTTTGGATAAGGTGCTTAAGGTAGATCAAGCAGAGCAGGGGACATGCATGCTGCTGACTTGTGCCAGGGCATTTGTCCAAAACTCTATTGCTAGCAAAAAACATATTGGGCTACATGCCGCTGTGACTGCTCCTCTCACCTTCTCTGTGGACTTTGGTTTATTTACCTACATGAACCAAGATGCCTGCCGCAGTGCTAGGAAGCAAAGGATGAGGACAGGGCTCAAGGCGAAGTCTGTATCTGCCTGGGTTTTGGAACCATAAAAGGGTCTTTAATTGTATTATTTATTTATTTATTTATTTGACAGACAGAGATCACAAGTAGGCAGAGAGGCAGACAGAGAGAGAGGAGGAAGCAGGCTCCCTGCTGAGCGGAGAGCCCAATGCGGGCTTGATCCCAGGACCATGACCTGAGCTGAAGGCAGAGGATTTAACACACTGAGCCACCCAGGCACCCCTTAAAAGTGTCTTTAATTTTAATTAAAGTAGTTAATATATGTAAATCTTGAGGATACTGACTGGTACATAAGATATAGTAATTCCATTTTAGCTATAGTATTATTATTATTTTTTCTTTATTTGCTATCTTAGCTGTGGGATTTGCTGTGTTTGTCATTCAAAGGGACTTCTCTAATAAACATGAAGAGCCATGAGCTTTACGTTGGATAAGAAAGGAGATGGACTTAAGAACTGATAGGGCAGCTATGCCACCTTGTATAATTGGGAATAAGCCTTAGTTTCCTTAGCTGTAAAGTAAAATTAGGATGGGGCAGAGTATCCCTCGAATGGTCCCCTCAGTAGGGGGAAATAACATTTATTGCCTACAGGTCTATGTGTTATGACTGTGTGGGGGTCTTTACATACATCAGCTCATTTAATCCTCACAATGCACTTTTTAAAAAATTATTTTTATTAACATATAATGTATTATTTACCCCCGGGGTACAGGTCTGTGAATCATCAGGCTTACACATTTCACAGCACTCACCATAGCACATACCTTCCCCAATGTCCATAACCCAACCACCTTCTCCCTACCCTCCTATCCACTGGCAACGCTCCGTTTGTTTTGTGAGATTAAGATCTCTTATGGTTTGTCTCCTTTCCAATCCCATCTTTTGAATTTGGCTTTAGGAAAATGAAATTCATAGAACCCAAGAACATTACAAAATAGAAATGATTTTTATTTATTGAGTGCCTTGTGCCAAACTCTCTACATACCGTATATCATTTCCTCATGATCACCCTACTGGCTATATTATTATTATTATCCAGACCTGTAAGTATGACAAGTATGGCTCAGAGAGAGACTCAATAATCTTGATTCATGAAGATCACATAGCCAGTAAGTCCTGGAGCAGAGATTTGAACTCATGTCTCCTCAATTCATAAATCCAGGTTCTTACTATTAAAATCGAGCTGCTTTGTGAGGTTGCCTTCCTATTAAGTCACATTGGATCTAATCGTACTTGAATGAATCTAAGGTGCACTTGCTTGGTAATAAATTCTATTGACACTATTCAAGAGCTAAGGGAATAAAAAGTGTCCTAGGGAAACGCATGCTTCAAAAAGCACAGCTTGCCATATGTGCAGAGGAGAGGAAATTGAGAAGAAACCAAATTGGTGAGCGGTTCCAAAGACACAGTGATATAAACAATTTCTAAACTAGAGATATGATGTGGTATTAGTCCCAGTGTGAAAGTGTGTGTACATGTTGGGGAAGGAGAGAGATTCGGATAGGGTTAAGTCTGGACCCTTGTCTCACAGTACAGAGCAGAGGCTGCTGCTCACGTGCGTTTTCCACAAGTGCGTGTGGGGATACGTTTGTGGGTGGGCAGTGGGAACGGGGAGATTGACTAGCCCATATACGTCCTGTGGTTTAGTGGGCACTGCTGTGTGGATTCTCACTTTGGCCTTGTATTTGGGAAGGGATGGCTTAGGGAAATGTGCTGGTAGTGGGAGGGTGGCAGCATTTTCCCTGTGTGTTTGCGTGCGGAGTCCCTGGCTCCAGCTGAGGAACTGCTCATGATGGCAGTATATGTCTCGTGGGCAAGGCAGAACACAGAAGCTCCGATTCTGTCTTGTTTCTTGTTGTGTAACCCCAAGTGTATCCTTCCAACTCATTGAACTCTGAGGCTCAAAGTGACCACCTACCTCACAGGGGTTCTGTAAAGAATGGACAATAAACACAAAGTTAAGTGCCATATGAATGCTAAGTAATGCTGTTAATCCTCCCTGGACAGTGGTGTGCCTATCTAATTCGCTAAATCTCTCTTGAGTATAGGACCTCAGGATAGGATGTTCCTGCAAAAAGAGTTTACACCACAAAGCAGATGACGTTAGGGGGCTGGCTCTAAGAATGGTGGACACACGGGAAGAGATAGAGCTGAACAGTCATGATTAGCTCCGTCTTCTGGGCTCTGGGGTCTGCACGCATTACAATGCACCTCTGTACCTTTCTGTTTACAAGTCCCTTTCTCAGAGTGCAAATCTCTACCTGCTTTTATCTTTCTAAACAAAACTGGATTCTGAACTCTGGTATATAAGTTTTCTGCAAGTGCTGGAAGTACTGAATCAGGAGAGTGGATGTTTTTATTCAGTCTGTCTGTGTGCTTGGTTCAGATAGAATTGCTCAACTGCTGGCAGTGATCCATGAAGCCTCTGGCTACCCTGGGTTCCTAAATGGTTTTGAAAACTGCTGGAAACCATTGCAGTGTGCAGCAGAAGGGAAACAGCCATGTTTGCTGCAGGGGGATTTGGGGTTCAAGCTGCTGGCTCTTCCTCATACCAGTCACACTCGCAGTGGCTTTGGGCAGTAAGACTTGACTTCTAAATTTCTAGGTTATGTGTTGATAAAGCGAAAAACACCTCCTCTAGTGGGATTCTGTTGCATCAATCTCTCATAGACAAATGGTGAAGCAGTTTCAACCAAAATTGTAATTCGTTCATTCCTTCATTTGACAACATGCGTCATTAACTTTTAGAAGAGAATAAAGGGTTCCAGTTGACTATATGATGTCTGATTAGCTGTTTTAAAATTAGAATCGGGACAGACTTTATCTTTGCTTTCAAATGGGACTCCTTGGTCTGGTTTTCAAAGTTAGAGATTTGTTGCTTCTGGAACTTTCTTGTCCTGGTTTCCCTGACACAACACTCTCCTCATCTTTTGTTGAATTCCTTGGCAATTTCTTGTCAGTTTCTTTTTGCTGGCTCCTCTGCAGGACCTTTAAACTTGATTGATTTAGTTAATGCCTGCTCCTTGATCCTCTTCTCTTTTGAACCCTCTTTTGTTAAAATATTGGGAGATCATTAAATATTGATAACTCTGAAATATAAATCTCAACTCCGACCCCTGCCTCAGATTCATATGTCTGGTTCTCTTTCTCATTCTCCACTTGGAGATGGAACTGAAACTTTCAGATTTACATATTGGGAACTGAACTTTTGATTTCTCCTCCAAATCTGCCTCTCTCCCAGTCTCTATCTTTCTTAATGTGGACACCAGCCATTTGGTTGTTCAGGCCAAGCACTTAAGAAGTTTTCCGGATTGCTCTTTTTCCTTTACGTTCCTGCCCGACCCATCAGCAAGTCCCAGAGGTGTTGAATGCCAGCACTTCTCACCATCTACACTGCCGTTAGCATGGATTGGGCTGTGCTTCTCTTATTTGGGCTACATTGCAATGGTTTCCTAAATGATATCCCTGCATTGGTCTTGTCTCCTGCAGTTTATTCCCCATATGGCACAAGGTGGAATGTATTACTTATGTTTTTTATTCATTTATATTTCATAGATGAAGAGACTTCAAGGAAGTGTTACTGACTTGTTTCAGATCATATAAGTGTGATGATGGAAGAAGGACTAGAATCCAGTTCTCCATAGTCCTGAAATAGTTAACCTTTGAATGATTTCGATCCTGCCACTTAATCATTTAGATTAGAAAATCAAATGTTAAGGGTGCCTGCGTGGCTCAGTGGGTTAAGCCACTGCCTTCGGCTCAGGTCATGATCTCAGGGTCCTGGGATGGAGTCCCGCATCGGGCTCTCTGCTCAGCAGGGAGCCTGCTTCCCTCTCTCTCTCTCTGCCTGCCTCTGTCTACTGTGATCTCTCTGTCAAATAAATAAATAAAATCTTAAAAAAAAAAAAGAAAATCAAATGTTAAGATTCTACTAATAACAGCTAATATATATAAGTGTTATTATATAGGACTTACTATGTACCAGGCATAGTTAGTTCCAAGGGTTTACTTAGTTTAGGCTCATTAACCTTTACATGAACCCAATGAACCGTAAGCTATTATTATGGCTATCTAAAGATGAGGAAACTGAGGCACAGAGATGTTAAGTGTCCTGCCCAGTTTATGCAGCCAACAGGCAGCAGAGAGGGGATTCAAACCCAGGCATCTGGCTCAAGTCATGCTCTTAACGGCTGCGCTACACTGACCCTCTGCGGAATCTATACATTCGATCCCACATGACCCATTTGTCTGTTTGGGGTATTTTTCTTTTTAGACATTAGTTATTTTATCTGTTAAATGAATTAACTATAGTAACAAAAAGTATTCATTACTTTATCACTTGTTTCTCAGGTATAGCTAAGAGGTGAATTGAAGTAGCCTTTAGATTTTTTTTTATATATACATGTGATTTTTGGGGTCCACATTTTTTAGCTATCGGTGATATTCGCCCCAGGGACAGACTCAAAATGAACTCCCAAATTGCCTCAAATATTTCCTTTTTGGTAACATTTCCCCAGAAGGCTCTACCCTGAAAGCTGCTACGTGAAACAGCAAATCCTATCGGGTCCCAAAGGGGCCGACTGCAGTTTAAAAAAAAATCACCGGCCTCTCTCTCTTGCACCTGTGCTATGCTTGGTAGATTTATTTAGTCAGGGAAAACTTCAAAAAGGATTGGCAATTTGAACTGGGTCTTGATGAGCTGAAAGAATTTTGAATATTGAAAAGGGGAGGTTTCACTCCTGCCAACTTCACATTGAGGGATGTAAGGAAACAAAATCTTGTTTGCAATTTAATGCAATGATTGTGATGCTAATTTCTTTGTGTCTCAAAGGTGAGACATTGTATAGGGCGCCTGAGTGATTTGTAATGTAACATCACCCAGGAACAGAATTCTGCTTCCTTTCACTCCCGGACTGCCTCTCCAACCCCTCCATCTTTGTGAATAATTCTTTGTTGATAAGGGACTCATTATCATTATTGATTAAACTTTGCCATCTCTGATGTCGGCAAATACCTTGCTCGTTTTAATCTGTCTCAAAGCCATGTTTTATACTTACTATGTTTTAATTTGTCCCTAGATTGTATTTGCCTGATGCTACTATAAAGATTGAGGACTCTCTTGGGGCATTTTGTTTGCAGATATATGATGGTCCTGAAGGATAAGCTTGGAGACTCACAAAGAGAACTTCTTGGTGACAACCTCCCTCTGCTGCTGTTGCCTTGAAACTAGACCCATAAACTAAAGCGGGGGATAAAGTTCTATAGTAAAACCTATAATCCACTTACATCTTTAACTCAGGGGTGATTTTTTTTTTTTTTACTTCAATCCTTAACATTTTCCTCTCCCTGTGATGCTCTATTGTTCTATTGACCTCTACAAATATCAACTCTGTTAGATTTTTGGTGAGTTCAAAGTTTTGTCAAATGTTATGAAGATGATATTTTCATAGTATTTTGAAATAATTCCACATTCACAGAAAAGTTGCAAGCCTAAAAAAACAAATTCCTATGTCTTTATCGCTCAGATGCCCCAATTGTTACCATTTTATTGCATTTGCTTGAAATGATGCTAATTTGAAATGACTGTTTATTTTTTAATTTTTAAAAACATTTATTTATTTGACAGAGAATGAGAGAGCACAAGCAGGGTAGGGGGCAGCAGAGGGAGAGGGAGAAGCAGGCTCCCTACTGAGCAGGAAGCCCAATATAGGGCTTCATCCCATGACCCCCCATCATGACCTGAGCCACAGGCAGACACTTAACTGACTGAGCCACCCAGGTGCCCCTCAGATGACCATTTCTTTATTCTCAGAATTCTAGCTTGCCCACTACTTGTGTGGAGCCATAGAAGGGCCTGTTTGGATGCTAGTGAGAGGAGGCTTAGGGAGGGAATGGGATTCTTGTTAGAAGGAGGGGATGAAGAGAGGAGACAATTGCTAGAAGAAACAGTGGAAACTTTGTAGTAACATTGTCTTAGGAGTGCTCTGATCCTCCAACAAGGCCGGTGCTAGACACGGTGTGCCAGCAACACCAGTTTCTTCTAGGTGCTCAGAATATCTTACTTTCCAAATAAGCTCAAATGTCAATTTTCCCTTATAAATGGGTAACAAATTACAGTATTCCTATTGAGGTGGCTAATAGTGATGCAGAAAATAAAGTCAAGTGCCCCTTTGGGACACTACATGGAAATGTATAAGGATTTGCCTGATGCTGCCAATTGAAGATCCCTCTGAGAAGGTTTCTGAATGACCCACAGGTCACACAGTCAGGAAGACTGCTAGTGAAGTGGCAAATTGCCAGACCTCTCAGCAGTGTGTACCGTCCTGATGGGTGCAGCCGCTGGCTCTCCAGCTTGGCCTGGGAAGGAAATGAGTAATGGGATTTGAATGGGCAAAAACAAGGATTTTCACTTTAAAAGGGATCTTTTATTCTTGAGCCAAAGCCAATTGAAATACCCAGAGCCTGGGCCATTTTATTCAGACAAGAACAATGAGATCAATTTTCAACAGAAAATGAGGGAAAAGGAGAGAGACAGCAGCTGAGGTAATAGGCTATAAAGGACAAAGTTTGAAATTAAATATTATGGCTTAAATAGTCCTGTAATTCAAGCTGCCCCTCTTCCTTCCCTCACCCCCCAATCTTGTACTAAAGAAATAAAACAAAAAAACTCCTCACCACAAAATGGGAGACAATCTTTTCCTAATAGAAGAAAATTCTCTCTGCGCATGAATTTGAGCTATAGCGATTTGATTTCTATGGAGATAAAGAGGCAGGGAAGTTAGTGCTGTTGGGAAGGGGATGTAAATGCGGTGTTAAGGAGTGAAGAGGAAAACTTCACGCAGGCTGGCTTATTAGAATTTGCTGTATTTTATCCTGTTTTCACAGAGCAGCAGAAGGATGTAGGGAAGTTTTATTTAATTTTGGGGGCAATTAGGAAAAAGAAAGCCAGGCTGAGTGACTTTAGACTGCTCATTACCTTCTGGCGGGCAGAAGGAGAGTGCATATTTTAAATGTTAAGATCAGATTATTTATAAGTTTCACTTTGAAATTCAAGGGCATGAAAGGAAC